TTAATTTAATTTTAATTTAATTTTGTGTGATATTTTGTTATTTGGGTGAAGTTCAATTGAATCAATTTGCTAACATTATGATATTTTTTGTTTGTGATTCTCTGCAGTCATTGCGTTCAGATTCATTTAGTAATAAAGTGAAAAAAATATATAATTTATTCAAGTACAATATATGTAGTATAAAGTACAATAGACTCTGGTTGGATCACCTTTTTCATTATTGTCAAATTAATGGGCTGTCCGTTACAATGAACACAAGTTTTGAAGGTTAACTCTTGAGCTTTTATAATCAAAATGAACTAATTTTTATTTACGATTCATATTCATGCTCTTGATTATAATCCATTCTTTATTGACTGTTACAATTTTATGTATTTCATATTTTGTATTCTAATTCTTACTCAAAACTGATTTAATTCATTCGACTTATTATGCAAATTCTAATTTATTAGATCATAAAAAAATAAAATTATTTTTCTACATCATTCCATCTAAAGAAAATAATTTGTAAATGTAAAAAAAAAAACAAATTAAAATAGAGAAAATGTTATGCTTTCTTTATTAAAAAAAAAAAATATTTTATGTTAGGAACCTATTCTTCAAGAACGGATTAATATGGTTTGAAAGCTTCAAAGACAATGTGCCGAAGATAATGAAGTGCAAAACCTGATCAATAAAATCCTCAAAATCATTTAAAACTAAAGGAAGACGTTAGACATCTTAAAAACGTACTCAATGTAAAATTAACTCATTCATTTCTAAATACAAGAATAAGAATAAGAAAATTAATTCCAAAGTAAAACTTTTTATTGGTATTGTAATCCGAGGGGTACTTCCGAGGGTACTAATCCGAGGTCATTGCCACTATTCGAAACGCTTAATGACTGTGAAGACGATTGGCTACGGGACTGTGGCTTTAGAAACATATTTTCTTTATTGAGTTAAGAATATTTTTCTTCAGGTGAAAATGTTTTCACTTATGCATACTGTCAGTGCTGGACTTACTTGAAATATGCATTTTAAATAGTCAAAGTTAAAATGCAATAAATTGCATTACACATATTTTTAAATACAAACACTATAAAATCTCAAAATTCACATCCCAAAATCGCTATTGAATCCTTTTTGATTTAAATTAATCTAATTTAATTTAATATAATTTAATTTATTAATTAATTATACTGAAGCTTTTTGAGCCAGTGTACTTGAGCACTTTTACTCTTTCTTAACTCGAGGTGTTTTTAAAATCCCTCTTTACGTCTTGACTGGTTTATTGTTTATCACTTCATCAGACTAAGCAATAATTGATCTCAGATCTGCAAATCTCCCTGAGGAGCCTGTAACCATTTTGAGATTTGATAACGGGGTGTTGGTAAGTCTGTCAGTTTTCGTAAATATTTTCAGGGCTCTATCCTTTATGTATTTTTTGATGGGATCAATCTTGAGGTCCCTGAGGATGTAATTCGTCCTAATATACCATGGTGCTTTGAAAAGTTTTCGCAGAGCCTGACTTTGTGCAATTTCTAGTTGGCGAATAATAGTGTTTGAAGCTTTGCTAAACGCTACACAACCATATAGAAGTGACGGACGAATTATTTGGTTATATATCAGTTTCCTGTTCTTAGCATTGAGTTTTTCATTTTTGAATAGCAGTTGGAGGTGATGAAGAATTTTGACGCAGCTAATTCTTTTCAGTTGAAGATGTTTAAGTCATGTGAATCGTTTGTCGAACGTGTTGCCGAGATATTTAACGCTATGCTCCTAGTTTAATACCATATCACCCACTCTCACTCTCAACGGATTCTGTTTTCACTTACGCATTATAAACAGAGCCTTAGTTTTTTCATTATTGATTTTTATTTTCCATTTTTGGAAATACTCCAGATACTATTATTATGTTGAGACTAGTTGAGTCGGTGCACCTGAGCACTTTTACTCTCTATTAACTGCGAGGTTTCTTCAAAACCCCTTTTTGCGCCTTGACTAGATACTAATTTAATTTAATATAATTTAATTTATTAATTTAAATTTTTGCTTTTACTGTTCAATTATTATATTTAGTTTAATTTAATTTGTAAATAATTTAATTTAATTTAATTTTAAATAAATTTATTAATACATTGGTATGGTATTCGACCATACCACTGCTCTGGTTACCACCAAATATCTATCTATCATCAGTGGTCTTTGAAAATATCTATTAGTGCACCTTCCACTTAAAGTAGTATATTATAGAGTTTATTATATTACAGTTTATATTTTATAGTTACATTAATTTAAATATAGAATCGATTAAGATATTTTTTGGTCTGCTTACAAATTTATCTTTTTCCCTTTAGCTACTTTTAATATCGTCAACAAAATGAAAAACCCTTTACCAAATAAACTATTATAAACTATTATATATTAACATTTTTAATAATATCCCCGTTTTAATGGAAATATTAAGATAAATAAAATTATTTTGACAAATGATGATTTGCTTGCTTATAGTAAATTAATGCATTTTTAATAATATTTAGCAGAAGGCGAACCAAAGTGGCCTTAATGGTGATAAATGACTTGACTTCGCTGGACTCAAGTCTCGTTTGGCAATAAATAAACGTTAATTAATAAATTAAAAACAACAAAACTAAACAAAAATGTTTAAATTAAATGAAATTAAATTAAAATATAAACAATTTTATTGTGTATCTTATAAGCATAAATTTTATGGTTGAGGGCAAAAAAGTTTATTCAACTTTTATGTATTATTTTTTGTTTTTGTTTACTACAAGTCGAGCCAAAAAGATACATTCATACATTAGATACATTAATGTTGAATTAAACAATTATTTTATTTATTTATTTTTTTTTTTCAAGACAGTGAGCTATAAGTATCTGCACTATAAGTTTTATATGATATAATTTTTTTGTTTATATTCATATAATAATATGCATTCAAGAAGCACTAAAAAATGTACTTAGAAAACTTTAATGTTTTATTTATTTTTGTTAATTTTTTGAACGCCGCAATTTTAAATAATAAAATTTCGAAAACAAGGTTAAATCGATTAAATTTCGCAGAAATAAAATTTATCTAACAAAAACAAAAATTTACAAAAAAATTTATTGAAATAAGTAAACATTTCGCTTCAGTTTGTTTTCGCACTGAGAGTCGGAATGTATTTGTTGTTGTACTCATACAAATGTATCTGTTAGATTAAATTTTGAACGTTTTCTTTCGTGTGGCAAATGAAATATTCGTTAAAAAATTGAAATAATCCAAAATAAATTTATTTCGAAATTTTAGATTGACAGTTGCAATGAGTTTTGCGCTTTTTTCACTTTATCTACTCGTATTTAGTTTTTTTGCCAATTTGTTAATTGCTTTTTAAATGTATTTCATTTTACAAAGTTAGTATTTCTAGTATATTCGTATCTTATTTTAAAATTTTTTTTGGCAATCGTTTTACTTTGACATTTAGAGAAACATAAATTTAAAAGTGAAAAAGTTGTGTTTTTAATTATCAACCTTAAAAATATTATCAGCTCTTTCAGTAATTAAATTTTGTTTTAATTTCGTTTTTTAAATTAAAAATGATTAATATTAATATTTCATTAAAAATTGCATTTAAAATTATTGAACCGATAATAATTTTCATTTCATTATTTCAACGTATAATACTACGTAAATGTTTAAAACTACGTCAATATTTTTTATAGCACAAATATATATTAAAATCTCAGTACCTATTCGAAATGATGGAGTTACCAGGTGTTTTTCGAACTGGTCAACTCAACATTGTCTGGATATATACAAATTGTGATAAATACCCAAAACAGCACTTGAATATAATATACATATATGTTTCTTAGACATTTTGCAATTCCCGGGGTTGTAATGTTAGAAAGCAATGAAATATATATACCTATTAAGTCAGTATATATTAAGAGAAATACGTACTTTCTGCAAACTGTTCAATAATAGATGGAAAGCACTTAAGTCATGTGAAACCTCCAGGTTAACATGGCTCACCTATAATAAAAATAGCTCCTCGCAACTCATTAAAAGAGATCGCGTGAACACTGCAAGGCTTACAGCAGTTCTTACTGGTCATTGATAATGTGAAATTAATTTGGAACTCACGCAGAGAAACTGCGCATTCCCCATAATCCTCCTCACTGCAAAAGTTGTGAAAACTCACAGGAGAAAGAAATCATAATACATTTTCTCTATGAATGCCCGGCTTTGGCGTCCAGAAGATATAGGTTCTTAGGAAGATACTTCTTTGATAATTTATCAGACGGTTCATCGGTGAAGACGAAAGATCTATTAAATTACCTAAATTCGGCGGGATGGATTTACTTTCTGCTCTTCTATACTAGGGTTCTTGCGAGGAATGTGGTAGCAATATGGCGACAAAGCGTTAATTGAGGTACATGGAAGTTATCTAATTTCATGGGATTTATTTTTTGAATATAATTTCCGGTATATATCCGCCGAGGTTACGAGTTACATGGTGCATTCGATCAGACTAATTTTTGATTAGTTTTTGCATAAAATCGTGTATGCACAACTATGAAAGTAAGTAAATGTCAAGTTTGCCAAATATTAAACTATATATCTGCTGCTGTTGTTATTGGTTTGAGATGTTATGATGTATCTAATATCCGCATACACCAGTAAGAATACTAGTTAATACAATACCAGGACGGTTATCAGCTCCGATTTTTTATAGTATTATTATTATAGTTATTATTATTATATTATTATATTTTATCAATTATTTTAATAGTTTTGTAGTTATCATTATTAATATAATAATAAAGTTATATTTTAGAAAATATAATACAAAATATAAAGTTATATATTGTGTTATATATAAGTATAGATATATTATTAATAGATATATTATTAAACTACCGAATAATATATAATTTTAAATTTATATAAAGATTACTTATTTATAAAATTTATTTTCTGCATATATTATATATTATTCTTTATATGTTTTTAGATTGTTTCCGAAAGTGAAATTTTACGTGCCCAAGAAATTAAAGATGACCTCGACACCCGCCAAACACAACAACTGAGTATTTTACAACGATTCAAAAGTGCTTCCATTGGAAACTTAGTGGACTTGCCAAATGAAGATGATAAGAAGTCCATTGCGGAGCGTATGCGCAATAAATGTGAGTATAAATGATATATACGAAAAGAAATTAAATAATATTTAGATATAAGATATAATACAGCTAGAGGGATGCAAGAGTAAGAAAGAATCGAAAATAGAATTTAAAAAAATAAAGGATAAATAGTGGAACAAGTAAGAAACAAATAGAAGATATGTAGATGAGGGTTTATGAAAAAGAAAAAGAAAAGGAAGTAGGAGATTTAAGATAGAAAAGTGAAAAAGAAAACAATGAATAAAGAATAAGGAAATATTTAATATTAAAACGAAAAGGGAAAGAGAAAAGATAAGCTGATGTATATAAATAAGATATAAAAAGCTAAAAATAAAACCAACTTTATATATCTGATGGAAAATATACCAGTACACCAAAATCATTGAAAATATATCAAGTACTACTGATATGAATACTGATTATATCGTTTGATTGTTTGTGAAGACTGGTTGTTGGAGTTTGACAGCAAAAAACTGACTTGCTCCCTATTTGATATCCCTTAAGTAACAGAAGTTACAGAGAGAGAGACCCCAATTTCTTTTGTTAGATCAGTAATAAGTAACTATGTCTACCTTTCAGTTGTAAGGACCTTGACATCTTAATATTCTTCTGTTTTTCTTCTTCTGTTTTCAGGATAATGTGTCGTTAAAGAATCCGTCATTATTTCTTTGATAATTTATCAGACTGTTCATCGGTGAAGACGAAAGACCTATTAAATTAACTAAACTCGACAGAATGGATTTACTCTCTACTCTTCTATACTAGGGTTCTTGCGAGGAATGTGGTAGCAAAATGACGAAAAATCGTTAATTGAGGTACATGGAAGTTATCTAATTTCATGGGATTTATTTTTTGAATATAATTTCCGGCATATGTCCGCCGAGGTTACGAGTTACATGGTGCATAAGTAACTAATGTCTACCTTTCAGTTGTAAGGACCTTGATATCTTACTATTCTTCTGTTTTTCTTCTTCTGTTTTAAAGATACTGTGTCATTAAAGAGTCCGTCATTATTCTACTGTTTTTTTGTGGAGAGGAGAGCTAAAAACTGACTAGCTCCTTATCTGACATCCCTTAAGTAACAGTAGTTAGTTTGCAGTCTGACATCTGTTCCTCTGTGTGTTTGTAATATAATGTCTGTTTGGTGAGTCAAACATTATTCTACAGTTAAAGAAAATTGGGTAGACATTCGTTTGATAACTCATAAGTATTCGTGGTTACTTTGCAGTTGCAAAGATATTAACACTTCTTTTTCTGTACGTTCGAAAAATAATGTTTTGTCAGTAGTCTCAGTAGTTCTTCGTGAGAAAGAGAGCATAAAATTGGATAGTTTTGTATTAGACGAACTAGACACGACAAGGTCATCGTGATCACTTTTTAGTTTCTTTTTGTGTTGAAGTATGTTTCAGATCCTTATTCTGACTAATATATTAAAGCATTGATATGCGTGTCTATATGTATTGTTGTTCAAGTATGAACTGTAAGCTTATTTTTGTTAGTTTATTAACCAATTTGTCACTTTCAACGTCTATATATCTAGAAATAAAGCATGAATTATTGTTTTTTTTCGTATTTGAATTTATGAATGTGAGATATACTATATTCATATGACAGACAATGACTGTCATTTTTTATAGAACTGCTGTGTAACTGACCACTTTAGGGCTTCTCTGAACTTTCTTAAAAATACCCTATAGTTTTGGTTTTATATAATTTGTTTTTTTTTTTGTTTTGCAATAATAATTAATCATAATAATTAAATAAACCACGTAATTTGCCTTTACTCCAATGAGGTTTACTAATCCCACAGTAAAACGCTTTTGTCTTCAGTTGTTTTTTTTCGCATTTCCTATTTTGAAAGAAGAGAATGTGTATTTCAATCCATATAGAAATGCTTAAATTCATTCATATAATCGTCACAATTAAAAATATTATTCCAATATAAAATAAAAATAAATAAAAGTGTGCTGGAGAGCACGAATAAGCGAGGCTCAAGCGAAACTTCAGAATGATTCGCATAAATTAATCGAAATTTTATATGAGAAATAAACATCAGTGAATCACGATTTCCGATTATGAAATCGGGTTTTGTTATATTATTTCTACCACATAATAAACTCCAATATATAAATGTATCTGTAGGTTTACATATTTGGATTTTCTGATGCATTGAGTTAAGTGTGCAAAACCGCAATGATTAACTAGCTTTCGAGATACAAACTAAGTAGATATTTCGAGCGGTCAGCGACGATTTCTGCCAGAAGAATTGCGAGTGACTTTAAAAAAAAATGGGAGAACTCTTCATATACAAAAATAGCAAGTTTCCTCATTTGATATACTAATAGAAATAAAATATATTATATGTTAATTAAGTTTGTGTATAAATTTAGTATATTTTTAACAACTTTTAGTTAATTAATATTTTTTTTATTTTTCTTTGCAGTGCAACGCGGCGTGTTTAAATTGTAAGTTAGTCGTTTAAATCATTTGATGAATAAATTTAAATAAATATATATAATTTAAATATTATTATTTTAAATTATTCAATAAAAAATAAAATTCTATTTCTTTTACTTTAGAAACATGCGTTCACCAAAGAGCGAGAAAAAAAGTCGTGGAATTTTTCGGCGCGCTGAAGCTACTAGTCTTTACCTGGAGGATGGTATGAAGCCGAAATATCCAATATTCGGTGCACCTTTAGAACAATTGGAATTGAACTTAACCACATATCCAAATGTACCTCTCTTTGTAGTAGATTGTGTTGAGTTTATAGAACGAAAAGACTGTATACTACAGGATGGTTTATATCGTGCTTCCGGCAATAAAGTTTCTGTCGATGAACTCAAACAAAAACTATCCGAAAGTTATATATATGATCCTAAATTGTTGGTCACAGATGATATACATACACTGACGAGTTTGCTAAAGCAATTCTTTAGAGAATTGGGTGCACCATTAATACCACAAGAGTCTTACGAACGTTTTGGACGTAATTTAAGTGATCCAGCGGGCATACAAAGTTTACGTGACGCACTGGATGATATGCGTGAACCAAATCGTTCCACATTAAAATTTCTCATCAAACATCTAACAAAGTAAGTTAGTTGATATTTAATAAAATTAATTATTAATTAATAATATAATAACACCCATTAGCGTTGCTGCCTGCAGTTCACAGAATCGTATGCCTGCATCAAATCTGGCCATTGTCTGGGGTCCTTGCATATTATCCGCCAATCAAATTGAATTCGACATCGGTCGCATGAATACACTGGCAAAAGTATTGATCGAAAATTATGAACATATTTTCAATGAAAATGAACGTTTAGTTTGTTGAGTTACCGGCGTTAAAAAGGCGTATTCCAAATTAGGTGCTAAGTCCTCCAAATATTGCACTTCCTAGCACTTCATCAACTACTCATTTAGATCATCACAATTATTAATTTTAAGTTCATATTTACAATTAATTAGAATTTAATATTAATTTAGGAATTTTATGCAAAAATACTTACCAAAAAGACATTAGCTATTTGGCGGTAGTTAAGTAAGTCAACTGATATTCGTTTTCGTTTTAGGGTTAAGTATCTGCTTTTTGTTTCTTAAACTGAAAATATTCCAAAAAATCACTTATAAATGTTATGTTTTTATGAATTTAAGTTTTATTTTTTTAAACTATTCTTATAAATAATTAATGTTTTTTTTTTATTTTTTGTGATAATTCTCGTATTTTGCTTATACTGCTTCTTCTTAAAATGTAAATATTTTTTTTAAATATGAACAAAAATATGTAAAAAAATGTGCTATCACACATACTCTTATATAAAAATAAAAAACCAAAATGTATTAAATTTAAAAAAAAAGTAGTTTTGTTGAAAGGATTTTGCTTGATTGATTTGGTTAATTTTAGTGATCGCAGAGTTTCCACCTTCTGTCAAAGTAGCGCTTATATACTGTCGATTTATGACCACACACCCGGTTATTAAAATTCAAGTTTCAAAACTAACTAACGAGGTTGATGAAGAAGGATTCTGTAGCATTATGTAGAATTCTATAGTTTAGAAAAGTTTATATCCTAAAGCCAGATTGCGTGAATGGTAAACAAAGAGTCGGCAGAGTCTTCTATCGATTAAAAGAATTGAAGTTTTAAAATCAACCTGCGTAGCTCATAAAAAGAAAGATTCTGTTTCCTTCTACGGAAGACTTGTACATATTTACACTTTCTATCGAAACAAATAAAGATATAATTACAATTGATCCCATGATCATTAAACACAGTTTATTTTTGTATATTATTTAATTATTTTGTCGATTACTGACATTTAATGTTTTTAAATGAAAGAAGAAACAGTCAATTAGGCTCACTTAGGTCCAAAAATGGGACTAAGCCGATATCACAGTTTATATGGACACGCTAACTGTTCCAAAAAACTATATTTTTGATTGGAAAAACACTTTGTAAGTTAGTTAGGTTTCTTTAGGTTCCCAAAATATATCGATTACGATATTGTGGTTTATGTGAATACGCTAACTGCTCCAAGAAACTATTTTAGAAACTGGAAAACCACAGTGAACGTCAGTTTGGCTATCTTATATTCCAAAAATGTGTCGATTGTGATACCACAGATTATATGGAGATCCTAACTGTTGCAAGAAATCATTTTTTAGACTGGAAAACCGATTTATTGCATTTATATAGAGCGACTAATATCTTTTATACCTATGCTAATGATATCGGACAGACATTTTGGGAAAGAAGACCTAAGAGTAGATGAACTTGTAGAGCATAATGTCTACATGGGATATTACCAAGAAGGATTAAAAAATTTATCTAACAAATTATTTTTGTATTCTCCAATATATATTTAGATGTATACAATCGATATTTGATATTTGGTTTACATATTCAAAACACTTATTATGTAGCAATTCATTCACGAATATCTAAGTTCTTTATTACATTTCCTATGAGATCAAAACCTTAGCTGATAATAATAGTTTATAATACGTTCCCTGTAGGTTTAAAAATTTGTTTCATATATATATATATATACATACGATACATGCATACATACATATACCATTTTGTACAATCGGTATTGTACTATATATATTAATCTTATAATAAGAAATTAAATAAAAGTTAATAAAATTAGAAATAATATTAAATAAAATATTATTAAACAAATAATTATAGAGATGTTTCTAACAGTAGAGAATTGCAATAACAAAATTTTTATTTCTTTTGATTTGATTGAATAATAAAAAAATTTAATTGAATAAAAAAAATTTGTGTTGTTGCAATTCACTACTATTCGAAACTTCTCTATTTAATAGAATAGTTTCTATTAAGTAAAATAGTCACTAATATTAATAATTAATCTTAATATTTGTTAAAAACAAATTTAATACGGAAAAATTATTATATTGTTATCATTATCAATTATATATCCAATTGAAATTTATTAAATCCAACTGGAGTTTATTAAATTTTCATTCAGTAGTAAGCGTTATTTTCCTATAAAATTAGTTTTTCAAAATTATTATAGTAACTACCACAGCATGTACACCGAAGTATTGGCTAAGTATTGACACAAACCATATTCATACAGTAGTACTGATAAGCAAAGATTGGCAACGTAATGGAAGACTAGTTGGTTACACTTTGCTCAGAAGAAGTGGTTTAGTTATTAACTAAGTTTTATTCTTTTAGTTTTAATAAAAATACAATAAAATACATTAATAAATTTTACAAGAATTTAATTTATTATGAATTAAAAAAATTTTTGTATTTTTGTACTTGTGAAATATCTGTAAATATGACAATGCAATATTTCTTTTTATCTAGCCTTTCGTGAGTCTGTGTTTATTTCTAGTCTATGAACTTATTCTATTCTATATCATGTCAATTTATGCTCAAAATTCTGCTCATTCTGTACCGATTTTAATTTTTTTTTCAGAATTTTTGTTTCTGAATTTTGTTTTCGGGTCTATTTGAAAACAGATTGTAATAAACTTAGCTATTTTTATCAACCTTTTCTGCTAAGCTATATGCCAATTTAGCTGATCCCTCGGGATGTAAAAACATAAAGTTGTAAGTTCAATTGATATCAATGCTTTCCATTAAAAGTCTAGTATAGAGATAAATGCCGAGCAGGGGCGTCTTCTTTTTGCTTATGGTTTCTTTGTAAAAAATATCACTTATAAAGCCCGATATTTAAAGTACTATGTTACCATTCTTTGACCTACAGCATAGTGAGGTTGTTTAGAACAGCTGACTTAACTTTAAACTCTTTATTAGATGATCGTGTTTATGAAATCTTTTTCTAAATGAACAAAAAGTAATTATCTTTCCTTAAGTAACACAATGGTTATGTGCCTACAAGTTACGAAGCTGTATCTTTTCGGACAAGTTTGTCTGTCGTTAAATTACCAAAAACTCTAATGTAACCTAGAATCCATAGATTCTCTACCAACATAAAAGAATATTAAGTTTATGCAGTTAAATTTTGAGTTTCTTTTTAAAAAAGAAATATATAAATATATATATGAAACTAGCTCGACCCGGCGAACGTTGTTTCCCCTTGCAATTAATTTTCCTGGCGTTCGTTGCGTTGCTCTTGACTTTCATTAGCACGTGTAATTGCATCCTGGTTTCTTACATCTTCATTGTTTTCTACCGATCTATTTAACCGATGGTTCTGGAGTAATTGTGAATTCCGACTCCGTCGACCAATATTTCCTCCTCGTCCACGAAGACGTGGCATTGTCTTTTGTACGATATTTATATCTTTATATATATAATTCTTCTTTTTTGTGTGTTGAATTTTTGAATTCGCTGGATTTACCAGGAATACCACCACATAACTTAAGATTAAAAATTGGCTCACCTATAATTATGCTGCGGAATTTAAATGCACTTAAGCTATGCAACGTCAGTTTTACCATTCATTTTAGAGATTTTAAAGTTTTTAAACAAATCAAAGTAAGCATGAATAAATTTTAAATTTTTAATATAAATGTATATGGATACCAAAAAATAAAAAATTGATTAAAAAGACATTATCCAGTGGGCCAAATTGTGAATCTAAACCTTCCTTGAATCCACTTGAACACACACAAAAAATTTCATCAAAATCGGTTCAGCCGTTTAGGAGGAGTTCACTGTCAACACACGTACAGAAGAATTATATATATAAGATATATAAAAAACATTGTTTATATAGTAACATATGTACAATTAAACCAATTTGATCGTTATATATTATATAATAAACCCATATATTTGTGATAAGAAGTCTTAAGTCTCAGTTCTTCTTTGAAATTTATTACTAGGCCCAACTTCGATTTCCCGGATGAGTATAATTGTCTGGATCTGAATGGATATGTTGAAACTCATTACTTATATAAACAAGATATGTATTGCATGTTAAGTGCCAGTTGGTTTGTGTGGTTTTTGTTAGTGTATTTACGTTTATATTATTAAAAAAGTTTATAACTTTCAGCGTCAATATCTTGAAAAGCTCGCTATATAAGCATACAGGTAAGTGGAAAAAATTGCTTATAAAAACTGACTGCATTAAAATGCATTGTCCGGCGTACTCAGTAAATCCTTATCGTATTTGCAACATCTGTAAAAATAACAAATTTTCTTCACCCCCTTCTCTTGTTTCAGTTAGAATTTATTAACTATATCAATATTTTATTACATTTTATTATTTTATTTTTGTTTGTTAAGGAGCGCTGAGTTTGAGCTTCACATTTGGCAGGGCATAAGGTCGATTACTGGTAATTGCAGTCTCAATAAAATATTTACGAATAATTAAACACAAGAATTATTTCCAAGGGCACTATGATGGGTATTTGGCAATATTCGAAACAGCTGTATGGTAGCCAAAAATTCAATTAATTAAAATAATATAAAAATAATTTTTGTTGTTGTATTTCATTACTGTACGAAACTTCTTCATTTTATTATTTAGTTGTTGAGTTATTACTTGATTAATTATTTAATTTATTTATATGATTTATTTATATTAAAATAAAGAAATAAATAAATATCATCGAAGAAGATGGAAAGAGTCTTTTTATGTTAACTAATTAATAGGTGGGTTTTGAAAGTTAAAACAAAGATGAACAATTATTGGTATATGTAAAAAACAATCATTTTTTATAATACCTTCTGCTCAAAAAGTATTTTGTTGTTTGTTAACTACTCCTTAAGTAATAGACCTTTTTCAAAATTTTTTTTTTGTTATGACACCCTTTGTCGACATATGCTACAAATTTGAGCGCCATCTGTCAATTAGTTTGTTTACAGCAGCTGTTAATGTGAGACTACCTCAAGTGCCTTTAGCGATTTTAACTATGGAAAATTCTTGTTGTACGCGATTTTTTGACCAAACAGGGCACCACTGTCATCGCTCAGGCACCATATTCGCCAGATCTGGATCCGTGCGACTTTTTCCTGTTTCCGAAACTCAAATTGCCCCTTCGTGGTAAGCGTTTGGAGTCGATTAAATCGGTAAAAGAGAATTCGCTGAAGGAACTAAAAGCCATATCTTCACGGGCCTACGAAAAATGTATGAAAGATTGGGTTAAGCGTTGGCATATGTGTATCGTTTCAGAAGGAGCATATTTTGAAG